TGGGAGGGAAAGTTCCGGCGGTTCCTGGGCTGTCAGCGCCTTTACCCTCCCGACTTCACTTCCTCCTGCAGCCCCCGCCGCACAGAGCCTGGGGATCCCAGCAGCCAGCCTGCTGCCGCCACGCCCTGGCCTCTGCCTGCAGGGTAAGTGAAGGGGCGACTCCATGGGACCGGACCCGGTCTGACAGTGCACAATCCTGCACAGGGAAGCCCGAGTGGGCTCCTTTCTTCTCCAGCTTGGAACCAGGCTCTGCGTGGGGCCCGCTCCCTCTAGACCTCCACACCCCTTCCTCTGCCGCCAGGCTAGGATGGGTGCCCAGGAGGTGGGCTGGGGGTAGAGAGACAGCTGTTGCTGCTAGGGCTTGGGAGAGGTCAGGTTTGGGCCGCCAGAGAGGCAGCATACGCCAGGATTTGTTTGGGGACCTAAGGCAGGGTACTGGCTCATCGCGGGGCAAGCACGCCCACACTCTAGTCTGGGCAGAAAGGTGGTGGCTTATAACTGCAGATATGGCAGCCACCAGGCCGAGGGGTCCCCTGGCTACTGGGGAGATGCTTCCCGCCAGGGCCCCAAGGCAGTGAGAACCTGAAGCAGCTTGGGAGTGGGCCCAGGCCCAGCAGACAGTCTGCCTGACTTCCCTGTCTTCACTGCCTACCCTCTGCGCCCTGGGGCTCTTTCACAGGCTGCTGTCTCCTAGTCCACAGGGGCTCTTTTTCCTTCTCTGTGCTCCTGCCCACTGGAGAGACAGAGGCTCCCTGGCCCTGACTAGCACCCCAACCCTCACCATGTGATAGAGGTTGTGGTTTCATTTTTCCTGTGAGGTGAGGTGGTGCCATCAGCTGACCTCCTGAGCCCAGCCTGGGGCTGAGGAGAGCAGCGGATGAGGCTTGGCAGCCAGGGAGGACTGAGCCACCCCACTCAGAAGGCTGGGGAAGATTTCCGACTCCTCAGACATGAAAGTCAGACCAAATTATAGAGCACCAAAAAACCCAAAAAACAAAGAAAGAAAGAAAAAGAAAACACAGAGGGGCCCTGGGAGACTCTGAGAACTGAAGAGAAATGCCCTGGGGTAGAGCGAGATGTTTGTAGACCTGGCTCTGCCAGCAACTAATGACTTTGAGACAACCATTTCCCCTTTCTGAGCCTCAGGTGTCCTGGCAGCAAAATGAAGGACTGAATGGGCAGTGGCTTTCCCGGTGGTTTCCCCAGAGATCATGTCTTCCTTAGTGGATGCTTGAGTGGCCTGCCCTGGCCCAGCAACTGCATGTGCCTGGAATATTGGACACAGGGCAAGACATGTAGAGCATTGTGCTGTGGACACAAATGTTTATTGGCTCTGCACAAGGGCTGTGGACTCTCAGATATCAGGAAGTCCCAGAGGGAAAGCTGGGAAGAGTCATGGGTCTCGTGTGGGGAAAACATCAGAGGCAGCCCCATGCATCCTGGAGGCTCTCCCTTCCAGCACACAGGGCCATCCTCATACCACAGAGCTCCCTGCCCTCTGACCCCCTTTCTCACGGCTCACTTCCCTGCCTGTTTGGCCTCTAGAGTTCCTCAATGGTGATAGATTCATTTGTTCTCCACTTGTCCATGTCTTCTTCCACAGGCCCAGCCAGTTTTTCCCTCATCTGGGGCAGGGAGAAAGAAGGAACCCCTGACATCTCCATCTGCACAGAGATTCCAGGTGGATCGAGCAGGCTTTTCCCTTTAGGATGGCCTCACCTTCCAGCCCCCCAGCTTTCAGGCTGGAGACATCAGATGGACCCCAAGAAGGTGGCACTGAGGGAGACAAAGGCCAGCCTGGGCCGCCCCCCATGGAGTCTCCATTTCAGGGTGAGGACCGGAACTCCTCTCCTCAGATCAGAGTGAACCTCAACTACCGGAAGAAGGCTGATGCCAGGTGAGGCAGCAGAAGGGGAGAGGTCAAGGGAGCCACACTGCCAGTTCCCACCATGCACCAGTGCCCTTTCATACCTCTTGGCTCCAGGGGCTCCAGTTGTGCTCTCTTGAGTTGCTTCTTCCAGAACCCTCCACATTCTTGGCCTTCTGCTTTCTGATGATGCGTTCTTTATAGGGACACATTCTTCCAGCTCCAAAGTACTCAGTTTAGTCACAGAATCCTACTTGCTTGAGCCTTAGAACCTACCCTGTCATTGCCCTACAGGGGATGATGGTGGTATCTGTGGTCCATCTGAGACAGAGGGAGGGACATCTGTGCCCCAAGGACTATTTGGTCCTGCTTCAGGGCTGGAACTGTCACCCAGGGGGTATGGACCTTGGGGACTGAGAAGGGTTTTCTGCTTAGAGTCATGTGGTATCTCTAGTAGCTCAGACTCTAACTCCAGGAATCCTGCTTCCACTGCTGCTGGTGGCAAAGGAGTTATACCTGGCATCTTCCTTAGCGTGAGGCTGTCTCCACAAGCCTAGAGCTTCCTCATGGGCCAGGATGAGGATGGCTGCCTGGACATCCCCTTCCTCCCTCTTCATGATGAGATGTGGCCTCCTCTCTAGGAGTCCCATTCTGGCAGCCCTTGTCCTATTTATGCTTGAGGACCAAGATGGGCTCCGGTGCAGAAGGTGATGCATAGGAGTCCTCTAGGAGTAGCATACCTGGGCTGATGGAGCCAGAATGGGCCCTGTGATGTCCTTTGGAGACTTAATCTGTGCTCACCTTGAGCTTCCTTTCCTCAGCACTGTGATGCCACCCTGGAGGCAGGAAGTACTTTGTTTCAGTGGCTACCTTCCCCAGCCAGACTGCCGATAGGGCTCCCTAGTCAGCAGTGGCTCTCATGGTCATGTTGTGGCTGTGTGGTCTGCTGGGTAGATGATAGTACCTCTTTCTTTAGAAGAGACATGAAGTTTCCTGGTGCTGACGAAGGGGAGGCTGCCTGTAATCACTCTATGGTACTATGTCTTCAGCTGTGACTCATTCCATGAGCTGGGTGTGGTAGTCCATGCCTGTAATCCCAGCATCACGAGGCTGAGGCAGGAGTGTTGCCATGAGTTCAGGCTCAGGATGGGCTACATAGTGAGTTCAAAGCTAGCCTTCACTACAAAGAGTGACCCTTTCTCCAAAACACACACAAAACAAAAGAAAATGTGACTAATTGCAACAAAGTCACAAACCTTACTGGGCCAGCATTCACAGAAGATGTTAAGCTATGATTTAGCATTCTTATTTTTTATTTTTTTTGTTTTTTGTTTTTGTTTTTGGCAGAACTGAGGGTTGAACTCAGAGCCCTGCGCTTGCCAGGCAAGCGCTTATTCTACTGAGCCATCTCCCCGGCCAAGCTATGATTTGAGAGTCCCCAAAGCATCAAATATTCCCCCACGCCTCTGTGTTGCTTTGTATCTCCTGGTCATTTCAGGGGTCTGGAGGTGAGCTTGCCCTGTCTGAGTATTGACATAGCCTGGAGGGAATACCCCACTCCCTCCCTCTTCCCCTTTACCAGGCACTGCTAGATTCTGATAAGGCAAGAGGCCCCTCTGGGGTCTACAGGAGAGAATTCCCAGAAGGCTGGTTTCTCAGTAAAATTCTAGCCAGTGTCTTACACTTTTTCAGCAGCAGGCTCACTTAATTCTCTGTCTTTGGGAAACCTTTCTTGCCCAGCTTCAAAGCTCCTTAGGTGTTCAGAGCCAGGCCTAGCATTAGACACCCCAGTTCAGTACTGTATACTTTGGACAAGATACACTACCTCCTGGTTTGTCTAAGGAGAAAAGAGTGATTTCTGACCATAGACCTAGAGTGAAAAGAAAGGATCAGAATACCCTGTAATTAGTGAGTAGATGTTTCTGAGAGAAGGGCGTTCTATTTATTTTTTTAACTCCTCCTCCTTGTTCCTTTTTTTTTTTTTTGAGACAAGGGGTCTCTCTATGCAGTTCAGGCCGCTATGTGCTCACTCTTGTAGCCCCCAGGCTGGTCTCAAACTTGCTGTGATCCTCCTGTCTCAACCTCCTGAATGCTGGGATCACAGGCGTGCCCCACCAAGCCCAATTCTCTTGTTCTCTTCTTTCCCTTGGTCCCCTTCCCTCTCTTCCTCTTTCTCTTTCTTCCCCTTTCCCTGCCTCCTCCCCTTCCCCTTCTTGTTCTTCCTCTTGTTTTCTTCTCATCTCTCTTCTCCTTATCCTCCTTCATCCTCTCTCTCTTTCTCTCTGTCTCTCTGTCTCTGTCTCTTTGTCTCTCTGTCTCTGTCTCTCTCTCTGTGTCTCTCTGTCTCTGTCTCTGTCTCTCTCCATTTGCATGTGGTTTTTTTTTTTTTTTTTTTTTT